GTCACCAGAATAAATAAGCCTAACTGCCCTGAGGAATGTACTGGATGTGTGTGTGCCCTTCAATAAACGCTTCCTATGACAAAAATGGCTTAATAAACATGCTTAATATGAAAATGCAGAAAGGTTACTGTGAAGGTCAAGTTTTAGGTTAGAAACTATCATTAGCTCTGGATGAAAACAATTGAGGTCAATGGAAAATCCTCAGTGTGATAGAATAATAAGTGTGAGTGTGTGTGTGTGTGTGTGTGTGTGTGTGTGTGTGTGTGTGTACAGATTGCAGGCCGCTCAGGGCAAAGACGTAACAGCTTGTGCGGCGCTGCTCTGTCGCAGCCAACTTAAGACTTCTTTAGACTGCTGAGATATTGTGGATTGTGCCACACAAACCATTCAAATGCTTCATCAATGAGATATATTTATTACATTTTTTTTAAGGAAATTTACTTTTATTCAGCAAGGATGCACTAAATTGGTCAAAAATGGCAGTAAGAACATTTAAAATCTTACAAAATATTTCTATTTCAAATAAATGTTGTTCTTTTCAACTTTATCAATGAATCCTGAAAAAAGGTTTCCACAAAAATATGAAGCAGCACAACTGTTTGCAGCATTGATAATAATCAGAAATGTTTCATGAGCAGCAAATCAGCATATTATTATGATTTCTGAAGGATCATGTGACACTGAAGACTGGAGTAATGATGCTGAAAATTCAGATCTGATCACAGAAATAAATTACATTTTTAAATGTAGTACAATAGAAAAGTTATTTTAAATGGTAATATTTCACAATATTACTGTTTTTACTGTAATACAACACAAAAGCAGATGTTTTGAAGAATGTCTAAAGTCATTGTCTTTAATGCAATGAAAGTGAATGAGGATGGATGCTGTCAAGCTCCATTAAAGACAAAAAGCAGCATAAAAGTACCTGAAAATCACTCATACAACTTGTGCTATGTTACAAGTCTTCTGAAGTCATATAATGCTTCATCTGAGGGAAAGGCTGTATTCATCAAAAACCTGGTTTTGCAAATCTAACTTGACCGCTGTGGCCACTATTTACTTTTTTATTGTATGGAAAAGAGCAGCTAAAACCTTTAAAAGTAATAATAAAGAAAGTTTTGACTAGCAAATATTTAAAATCAGTTGATATTTCAGTTAATTTGTCACACTGGAATGGAAAGTCTATTTGTTTGTTAAAAATGTTTGGCACTGACCTTTTAATTTTAAGTTTAAAAACATTAAGTAAATAAATAAATGTTGATGTTCCAGTTAATTCATCACACTGGAAGTGGAAAGTCAAGTTGAGCGCATTGCATAATGGCATATAGTTTGTTTTTGTACTGCCCCTTTTGGTCAAAGTAGAAGGGCATTTGAACTTGCACGCATGCATTTGCATATAAAGTTGAGTAGTCTGTGCCATTCTGAACATATCTGCATTAAATCTTCACCTTCAGTGTTTATTTTTCCTTAACCAGATCTGAGACTGGTGAAGACTGACGATAGGATCTCCACTTCATTTGGTATATCGGGCTGTAAAGCACAACAACCGACATCCCGCCTGGATCGACGAGCCATCGAGACTCGTATGACAAGATGAACAAGATTTTGCTCTTAACTAAAGAGCCACGGCTCGATATTACCAGAGGGGTCAAGAGTACCTCCGATTGCACAGAGCAAGTGAAGGCAGATGTGCCATCATTAAACATCAATACTGCATCGCCTATATGGGGCCCTTGGGAGGCCGTTTCCAATCTATAGCTCTCAATCTTTTTCCCATCTATGTGTTTCTGAAAGCCCCTGTAACTCAAACCCTAAAGAAAAGCTCATGGATATTAGGTAATCCGAGTTGTTTTTCACTAGTCACTATGCTGTGGGGCAGCTTGTGTTTTTGTGCGTGTGCAAATGTGCAATACGACCCCCCTTCAGGCTCTGGTTTTTAAAGAACTGCAATCGAGTCTGAAATCAAGCCTGGCCATTCTGTGCGGGGCCTCAGAGGGAGCGACGGCTCTCAGAATTGGATTACATTGTGTGAATGGGGTCTGTTCCCCTTGGATGGGTTCTCCGCAGGACCCCCTACTGTCACGCCACTGCTCATTACGGTTAATCTATGGATGCGAGCGCCCGGTTTTCCCACGCAGAACCGCCTGTGAGGTCGGAGACTGAGGTTTAAGAATGAATGTAAAGGCTCTTTTCAAGCTTTGCCATGTGATGATTTCATGGCCAGATTTAATTCTCCAGACATCATCTAATTTGGAATTTTCTTGCACAAGTGGCAAAAGGTGCGATTGTTGCAGAATGGAAAGATTGATTATGATAGTAATCTCTCATGATTGTTTTGCACGAGAGAGCGGTCAAACTGTTGTGCTGTTGATTAATTTGGCTGTAGATGTAAAGGGATTACACAGATGTGTCCGTCTTGTTTTGGGACATGTTTGTTTGGATGTGTAAACGCTCATCAAACGCTAAACCCTTCCTCCAATTACTCATCCATCATTCCCGCTTTTCAATTACTCTTCTTTCCATTTGTGGTTAGATAATGACCCTTGTTCTTACGATTAGTTTAGTCGTTCTTTCTTTCTTTCTGTTGTTCTTTCATTTCTGTCTGTCGTTTTTTGTCCCTCTGTGTGTCTGTTGTTCATCTATCAATATTCATCTATATTTCTTTTTTTTTTTTTTTACTCCTCTGGTTGCCTCTACTGTTTTATTATCCCTTTACCATCTCTCTTTCACACAGGCTGTACCATCTCATCTTTCTTTCGGTCTGTCATTCTTTTGTGTCTGTCTGTCTGTTCTATTTTTTCTATATTTCTAATTGGCATTTGTTTTTGTCTCCTTTGGTTCCTTCTATTATTCGTTCTGTTTTTCCTTCTATATGACGTACATTCTTTTTGTTTGTCTGTTGTTATTTTGTCTGTCTGTCATACTTTTTCTGTCTATTGTTCTTTTTTCTGTCTGTCTTTCAATCTGTCACTCATTCTTTCTGTCTGTTATTCTTTTCTGTCCATCTGTGTCTGTTGTTCTTTCTTTCTTTTCTGTATTTCTATCTGTCATTCTTTTTGCCTCTTTTTCTGTCTGTTGTTTAGTTCCTTCTGCCTGTCATTATTTTCTTTCCATCTGTCACTCTTTTCTGTCTGTTGTTATTTCTTTCTGACTTTTTTCCCCTTCTTACTTTTCTTAGATCAGGTGTGTACTGTCCTGCAGAGTTTAGCTCCAAGCATAAATAAAAAACACACCTGAAGCAGCTAATCAAGTTCTTCAGGATCACTAGAAGCTTCCCGGCAGGTGTGTTGGAGCCCAATCCTTGGCCGTCCAGGAGCA